CACTTACAAAGTCTAGGAATTCACGTCTTATTGGATCTACCGATTGGTGACAATTATCTTAATCAACCATCTGTTACGTTAACTCCAAAAGTTAAACCCGAGTACTTGTATCTCACAAATGAAATTGGGAATATAAACATAAAACAATTAAGTGAATTGTACTATGAGCAAGGTGGTGTACTCGCACAACACCCTGAACTTGCATTATTTTTTAGCACACAAATCAACAAGGACAAACAATGGCCTAATATTAACCTTATTTATAGAGTAGTGAATGGTACAATATATAGCACAGCTTATTTGGTTCGTTTCAAAAGTCGTGGCACAGTTCGCCTACAATCAACTGATCCCAGGGTTTACCCAATACTGAACCCAAACTGGTATTCCCATCCGGAAGATGTAGAGAATGCATTAGAATCAACCAGGATGCAATTTTATATATTTGAGAAAACACAACTTGCTAATTATGTAATACTACCAAAATTATCTGATTATGGCTGTCCGGTGTGCACCGGGAGATATATTTACGAGTGCACAGAGGGGTTATTATGTTATATGAAGTATTTTACCGACAGTTCCTTACATCCCGGGGGCAGTTGTCGTATGGGCTCAATAGACAGACCCGATGTTGTGGTCGACCCCCAGTTGAGGGTTAAGAACGCGAAGAACCTCAGGGTTTGCGACTCCTCTGTGTTCCCAATGGTTCCCAACTCTAACACTGCGTCCGCCTCCATAACCGTTGGCTACAAGTGCTCGCAATTTATCAAAGATGCTTATAATTTGAAATAAAGTACCGATAGATTTGATTTGAAATCACATTGTTGATATATTGTATTTGTAGTACCTGTAGTGTGCAGTATAATGTAATTAATTTCCCTGGATCACTTTAATTCACACTTAATTACAAATGTTTATCATTAATATTTTCAAAATAACTGTATTACTATTTAAAATAATATCTCATCTACATTCAAGTGCTATAAATAGTCCACAATTATTTGTGGTACCGAAGTAATCCATATCCAAAGGGATCTCTTCAGAACATGCTTTGGCAACATTTTTTGGCAAATCTTTTGCGAATTTCATTAAATTAATTAGTTTTATAAATTATTTATGACAAATATGTGTGTTTTAGTATTAATCTAAGTCCACCAACACACAATAACCAAATTTAAGCCATCAAACTATGATATAAGTTAAATGGTACAGAATATTATTGCTGCAATTCTAGAGTAATTTGAAATTTTTGTATCCACATCACCAAAATAACAGTACTTTTTCGTGTGATAACTGGTCTCGCTTCTATCCATGAGGTAATGCACATTATCTTGATCATTTAGGTCATTGGTCTTATTAGTCACAAATAGCTGTCCATACATATGACGGTCAAACACCCTCATAGTGCCACACCTGCCCGTGAAGTACTCGCGACAATATATGACTAAATTGTTGGGCAATAATAGCAATTGTGGCCAAAATATGTCGGATTTCGTGAAATTCTGATTGTTTTCCAGTCTTTTGCTTTGCTCTTCAGTCCTCTTCCAACAGAAACTGAACTCAAACCGACTGTCCGGTGATCTCATGGCCCGACACTACAGGTTATTGAGTGTTAACTCAGTCACAGTTACCCAACATTTCAGGTATAAGACCCGTTGTGGTGGACAGTTGTTTATATCTCATCATCAGTTATGAAAGTTTTATAGATATGCAACCTCCCGCCGATTTATTTGCCAAAATAGGCTGTCCAGTATGCCCGGGCAGGTATACGTATGAGTGTACAGAAGGTTTGAAATGCTTCGTACAATACTATAGCTCCGGTTCCTATCATCCCGGGGGTAGTCGTCGTATGGGCTCAATAGACAGACCCGATGTTGTGGTCGACCCCCAGTTGAGGGTTAAAAATGTGAAAAACCTTAAGGTTTGTGATTCATCGATATTCCCAACGATTTCCAACTCCAACACCGCGGCCCCCACTATAACAGTGGCCTATAAATGCGCCCATTTTATCAAACAGTATTATGGTTTATAATAAATCATTTTTAGTGTTGAGGATAATCCAGGTGAATATGATAAAGTAGAGCATTGAGATGAAATAATTTTATATTTATCAAAAGATTTCGTTAGGTTTAATAATTTGAATAACTATAATATAATGACAATGAAGGTACTGATAATGGTACTAATACTAATGACCATGGTAGCTTTTATGAATATAACTATCCATCAATATTTGAGAATATTAATTAGATTGTTTAATAATATATTATTTGTTATGGAAATCATAAATTATATTAAATTTGAGACAAATATAATGTTTTAGATATTATTTATTTCTAATAGTTTGTACATGTGACATTAGAAAAAAACAGTTACTCTATGAAAGCATTTTTAGTAATTAAACTAATTTACCCTCAAATCAACATATTGTGAGTCTATTTATAACATTAAAACAATTATATTAAATGTTTGTTTCATAATAATATCATGACATACAAACAACACAGTTGTACAATAAACAAATAAAAGTATTTGTAAAATATATACTTTAATTAAAGACGATGGTCGGAATATCTTTGTTAACATACAAACTACTGGTGCTCTCGTGGATTACGGCTCAGAGACAATTAATTCACGACAGGACGGCATCACGAGAGACATGGGATAACACGTACGACTTTATAGTAGTAGGCGCCGGAGCTGCCGGTGCTGTGGTGGCCAACAAACTCAGTGAATGCAAGTCAGTGCGGGTTCTGTTGCTGGAGGCAGGAGGTGCTCAGAGTGCCGTCTATAACGATATTCCCGCTATGACTGAATACATATACGCCAATGGAATTAATTATTGGGACTATTATTCTGAACCCAGGCCTAATTTTGGACTTCAATACCCTGGGGGTCGGGTTAAGGAGCCCAAAGGGAAGACATTGGGAGGCAGTACTACACATAATGGGATGATCTATAATCGGGGTAATCGTCGGGGTTATGACGAGTGGGTTAATACATACGGTGCTGTCGGTTCCTCAATATTCCTAAACAACGGTCACAAATTCCTTACCCTCTTATTATGGCTAGGCTGACAACAGCTCTCATTAGGGCCTATAGTGCCTTGAGCACCTGGTTATGAAGTGTCAACGCCTAAAAGTCCTGATAAAATATTTGATGTAATATATGAAGCATTAAATGGATTGGGATATAGTTATACGGATATCAATGGTGCGAATCAAGAGGGATATACGTTGATCCAGTCATTTATAACGGGACAGGGGTTTAGGTCGGGAACGGGTAATGCATTCGTGGACCCGAACCCACACGAAGACAATCTGCATATCGTTTGCAAAGCATTGGTCTCAAGAATACTATTCAATGGGTTGACAGCTATTGGAGTGGAGTTTATTAGGAATGATATCGAGTATAGAGTTTACGCTAACAAAGNCACGAAGACAATCTGCATATCGTTTGCAAAGCATTGGTCTCAAGAATACTATTCAATGGGTTGACAGCTATTGGAGTGGAGTTTATTAGGAATGATATCGAGTATAGAGTTTACGCTAACAAAGAGGTTATCGTTTCCGGCGGTAATTATTACACAAAAACAACTTTCATACTATTTTAAATAATATATGATTTACTTTAGGTGCCATAAATAGCCCACAATTATTAATGTTGTCGGGTGTGGGTCCCAGAGATCACTTACAAAGTCTAGGAATTCCAGTTCTATTGGATCTACCGGTTGGTGACAATTATGTTAATCATCCAAATATGGCGTTGACTCCAAGAGTTAAACCCGAGTACTTGTATCTCACAAATGAAATTGGAAAGATTAACATAAAACAGTTGAGTGAATTATACTATGAGCAAGGTGGTATACTAGCACAGCACGCAAATGTTGCATTATTGTTTAGCACACAAAGTAACAGGGACATATTATGGCCTAATGTTAACCTATTTTATAAACTATTTAATGGCACAATATATAACACTGCTAATTTAGTTCGTATCAAAAGTCGTGGTACAGTACGCCTACAGTCAACCGATCCCAGGGTTCATCCATTACTGAACCCAAACTGGTTTTCCCATCCGGAAGATGTAGAGAATGCATTAGAATCAACCAGGATGCAATTTTATATATTTGAGAAAACCCAACTTGCTAATTATGTAATACTACCAAAATTATCTGATTATGGCTGTCCGGTGTGCACCGGGAGATATATTTACGAGTGCACAGAGGGGTTGTTATGCTACATGAAGTATAATACGGACACCACTTTCCACACGTCCGGCAGTTGTCGTATGGGCTCAATAGACAGACCCGATGTTGTGGTCGACCCCCAGTTGAGGGTTAAGTACGCGAAGAACCTCAGGGTATGCGACGCCTCTGTGTTCCCAATGGTTCCCAACTCTAACACTGCGTCCGCCTCCATAACCGTTGGCTACAAGTGCTCGCAATTTATCAAAGATGCTTATAATTTGAAATAAAGTACCGATAGATTTGATTTGAAATCACAATGTTCATATATTGTATTTGTAGTACTTGTAGTGTGCTTTATTAAATCTTGTTTATTAATATAGTTAAGCAATAAACTATTTAGCTATATAATTAATTTATTTACTATTGCATAAATATCATTTAAATAAAAAATCAATAAACATCTACAATTTATTAATAATCAAATTGACTCAATTGTGAATCAAAATAATCCATAATCATAATAAGTTAAATGATACATAATATTATTGCTGGAATTCTAGAGTAATTTTAATTGTTATCAGGTATATGATTAATTTTGTAATAAATCATGTCTGATATTTTGTTTGGATCCACATCACCATAAAAACAGTACTTTTTCGTGTGATAACTGGTCTCACTTCTATTCATGAGGTAATGCACATTATCTTGATCATTTAGGTCATTGGTCTTATTAGTGACAAATAGCTGTCCATACATATGACGCTCAGACACCCTCATAGTGCCACACCTGCCCGTGAAGTACTCGCGACAATATATGACTAAATTCTTGGGCAATGATAGCAATTGTGGCCAAAATATGTCGGCTTTCGTGAAATTCTGGTTGTCTTCCAGTCTTTTGCTTTGCTCTTCAGTCCTCTTCCAACAGAAACTGAACTCAAACCGACTGTCCGGTGATCTTATGGCTCGGGATTGCAGTGTATTGAGTGTTAACTCAGTCACTCTTACCCCACATTTTAGGATTAATGATCGTAGAAGTGGACAGTTGTTAATCAGAGCACAGATTCCGGTGTCCGATAAGTCAGTCATAGTGAAAGGCATTGAGAATATTCTTAACACTTGTATTGATTGTAATTTTGATAATGAAAGCAATGTTTTATTTGTGAGCTTTTGTTGTGTTTTCAGTACTAATCGTTGTATTAGTGGACAGTAGTGTTGAATGTCTCGCATGTGTTCATCATTTAAATTCTTGTATATAATCTGGAGTTCAGTCAAGCTTTTCATAGACTTCAATGCCTCCAATGATCCCAACGCTATGGCCGGGGATCTGATTTGTATATTCAGAGACTCAACACAAATAAGAGTTGATAGACTTGAGAGGATAGGACCACATCTGATATTCTCCATAATTTCTAGTGATAGTGACTTCAATTGCAGACAATTATCGGACAATAATTTAGTGCCAAAATTCAAGTCCACATCAAATACTTCATTGGATTCCAGTATTACTTTCAATGCCTTCAGTCTATGAAAGTTTGAAATCACTTCAAGTGTTTCATTGAATTTCTTAAAATTTGTTTTAAAATTTAACTCCAATTGCAATGAAGTAATTGAATCCTTATATTTGTCAGTCAATTGTCTCAATAGATTTAAACCATTTTGACGATCAATTCCTATACTAATATTCCGTACCTTTGCATAGAAGGGCTCGTAGTTTATAAGATGTGACAGAAATATGTCTAAAAATTAAAAGTTATAAATTAAAAATTTTATCAAATTAAAAATAAATCACAATATATTAAATACCCGAGTGAAAGGTTTCAGGACTGTTTTTCCTTATTGTAATAGTTTTCAATTTTTTGCCGCAATTGTGGGCAAATTCTCTCCAAATATATTCGGGAATATTCTGCGAGTTATGATCAAAACGACAGTCAATTTCATACAATTGATAGCAATTCTGTGCAATCATTTGCAGTACTCGTTGGTCACAAACCGGCCAAACCTTTAATTCGCCCAAAAATTTACATTTTTTGAGCAACTTTTCAGATATTTGTAACTTTGTGTCCACATCTTTATACATATAAGTCCAGTGAGTGCTCCACACGGGATGTGTTAACTCATTGACACTCTTATACATGAATCGGTGCCACTGTTTGCTCATACACTCCAGTCGTACCCTATCCTCCAGTGGTAGGTATGATAGGATTAGTTGACATAAATCGTCGTCAAAATTAAATGACATTTTCGTATAAATTAATCTAAAATAAGTTATATTTAACAATCACAAATATGTACAAACGAGAAAATATATTTTAATGAATATTCCTTAAACAACAAATATGTTGAATAAAACGCCTTTAAATGTCTATTTATGTGTGCAATAGTTATTACTATGACATTCACGCAATGTTTGTGCTAGTTAAAGTAAACCATACAAAATACATTCACTTTTAGTTGTATTAGATACTTCTTATTTCTCATTGAGATATATATCTATACAAACTCATTTTAAATAATAATTCATAAACAATAATTTATTGCACTAATGTTACCCTGTAAATATCTCTACAATATTTAGGTAATAGTTGAGCATAATTTATAATATCTGATAAGTTACCTGGAATGCTATTGTTATTAAAAATATATACTGTTTGTATGATATATTATAATACTAGTCGTAATACTTGCATAAATATACTATGATACTGTACTGTATTAACAATAATAACCTTGAAACAAATTCTTATATACTAGATAAAGTGTGGCGCTACATAATTTTCAAGAATTTTGAATTAAGATAATTTATGAAATTATTTATAATAAGCATTTAACACTAATTAACAAATTAATAACTTATTCTAACTTAATAAAAATTATACGCAAAATTTACATTGAACACTTGAAAACTAAACTATCCATATATCTATGCAAAACGATTAAAAAATAATTATTCTTCAAAAATGTAAACTTCAAAATAAATAAAATTTTTATTCATATTCTGTAACCTTTTTAAAAAATTCGTTATACATATTATTTTAAGTAAATTAATTGAATTAATAATAACTGTAAAATATTGGTTGAATTGAATTAATTAAATAAAATGTAGATAAACAATTCATTATATTGTGTACTAGACCGAAATAAATTTTAGGTACACTTAATGTTATTTTAGTGCATCTAGGACTATTATCATTAAAACTCTAACTACTTATAATTATTTTTCTAACTATTAATGTTGTATTGACTACAATTGTATCTTTAGTTAGATAAGTATTGATGCTGAAAACATTATGAAATACTTGTGTATAATTGCCATCATTTTTAGACTTCTTATTATCTATAACTAAGTTTTAGTACAACTAGGACTTTCACAACCAATCAAATTATTTGATTCAAATGAATATACAGTAATACAAATATTTTCCAGTAAAATCATATAAAAGAAAATAGTTTTTACACTTTTATTATTTAATATAACATCTAATACTATTTAGAAGTGTTTTATTTTTTTAATAAAAAAATTATATTTATAATTATAAACTTTTTGTTAAGTTATGGGACTTTTAATATCAATCCCTGCTATGACTATATTTGCAAACAAATTATTTAAACTAAATGAGCAAATCAATGGCCAGTGGTTTAGATATTTATCTCAATTATGGAAACTATGGTCCAGAAGAAGACAACACAAGTGCAACAGAATAGTGACACATGACTTGTACAGGGATGAGGTCCACCACTCGGGACTGTTACCATTCCCACACGAATGGCAATACGACTTACCCTCTCTGGTATTTACCAAATATTTTATTACTTGTATTATAATAATTTTATTTTAAGTATAAATTCATGTAAAATTTGTACAAACTTATTATATTAATAAGAATTTTAATTAATTTATAAATTAATTTTCATTCAAACAAATACCAGAATAAAAGCGAGAATTTGTTGATATATGGCGTGAATTCATCGAAACAAAACATTTATATAGCAATCAAATGGAGACCAAAAGGAGTGGACAATCGGGTCAAAGCATCTATAAGTCTTAGATTTGATGACAACAACAGTAATACCTATACCTTAGAGGAGGACTCGGAGGTTGAGTATCGGCCCAATGAGTACAGAATGGGTGGACTCGGACTAGAGATCAATACTCCGTTCAGACGCAAACGGATTAAGTTTAGGGGATATCTCTCCAAAAATGACAACCAATTAGTTTACGTGCGCTTCCGGTTCCTATGGTATGCCGTCTCAAGAGTTTACGACTTCACCCACGACTTTGACGATCACTTTATGGCCAAAGAGATGGCATTATCACCAAAATCGGACACAAGTGACAACCGATTTGAGGACCGATTCGAGCAATTCGGACAAATAAAGGGTACTTTCGGGGAAGAGTTGACAAATGAAAGGGAGCTATACTTCTGGGGATCTATGAGCAAAAAGTATTTACAAAACAAACCTATTCATAGGAATATTAAAAGATTTTTCGGATACACTAAAGACGGTACAGAATATTCTGGATAAATGACTAAATATATGAAAATAATAATTAAAATAATTATTTACTTAGGAATTGGTTTTCATTTGGGATTTGTTTGCCATCAAAATGCGAGTGAATATCGTTTTGGATACCTATTCAGAAAAAGTGGACACTTTTTGAAGCTCAAGAAATTATCACTAAAGGGAACAGACTTTACTGAAATATTGGACAAGAGTTTAATTCATTTTTCGGCAACTTTTGACGACAAAGATTATAATTTTGTTATCGAAAAACATGGAAACAGTTTTGCGAAAAGACTTTTAATCAATGAATCGGAAGGAATGTGTTATATATTAGATGAAAATGAGACACAATTTCAAGAATCTGTCAAAACTTATGATTTTGTAAATTCTGTAACAAATGATTCATCACTTGTATTGAGTTTGAGAGAAGAAAATGCCAAAAGAGTTGACTTAAGCGGAGGTAAAGGGAGTTCTTTAGCGGTTCTCAAGAGTTTGTCCGAAGATATAGTTAAAGAAGACTATGAAAACCAATTCATTGTACCGAATGGTGTGATTGTCACCACTTATGCCTATCAGCGACTTCTTCGTGACCACAAAGAACTGTTGCAAGAGATCCAAGAACTGGAAGAATCCACACAATTATCACCGAAAGAGCTGAAGACTAAATGCGATGAACTAATGAATTCAATATCAGCTCATAGTTTACCACAAGTTATAAAACAAGATATAAAACATAAATTAAGCGAAAATTTCAACGATTTTGAGACAAAACAATTTGCCGTCAGATCTTCGGGCGCTTCGGAGGACTCGGAGGAGATGTCAGCCGCTGGACAGATGTCCACATACTTAGGCGTCAGAGGTCTTGAGGAGATCTACTCATCGGTGATGATGTGTTGGTCCTCACAGTTCTCGCACATCGCCGTCCAGTATAAGAGAGGTTACGGACAGCCTATCAATAGTCCGATGGCTGTCGTCATACAGGAGATGATTGACTGCCAATCAGCGGGCGTTATGTTCACATGTGATCCCATGACCGGCGATGAGAGACATCTGGAGATTACAGCAAACTATGGATTAGGAGAAGTGAGGCGTCAAAGACATACCAATTTGTTGATAATTATAGTAATTTTGAACTATATTTTGATAGTCAGTGGTGTCGGCGTCTTCAGAACCAGACACAATCAAAGTGTCCGTCAATATTGAGTCCAACTCTCTGTCCACACGAAGACGTGTCAATGGGATTGAATCTAAAGTGATCGGACAGAAGAAGACATTAATCAAGTTGTCTGATAGCGGAGGTACTGTTGAGGAAGAGGTGGACGACCCGAGTAATTGCTGTGTCAGTGATGATCATCTGATCCGTTTGGCCGACATTGGACTTCGAGTTCGTATTTATAATCCATAATAAGTATTGAATCCATAATTAACCCCTAATTCACGAATAGATTCACAAACACTACGGAAACGCCAGGGATATCGTAACACTTGACAGACCTCCACATCCTTTACAAGGACTTGAGTGACGGCCACATTCAAGATATTCAACACTACTGTCCACTAATACGTCAATTAGTAGTGAAAACACAACAACGGCTCACAAATCAAACATTGAATTCATTATCAAAGTTGCAATCAATACGAGTGTTAAGAATATTCATGAAACCTTACATTACGGCTGGATTTACAGACACGACTTTGTGTGCCCTTATAAACAACTGTCCACCACTACGGGTCTTATACCTGAAATGTGAGATACCTGTGACTGAATTAATAATCAATACAATGATATGTCGGGCCATGAGATCACCGAACAGTCCGTTTGAGTTATGGCTGGAATTCATATGGAGTCCTATGACTCAAGAACAAAGGGATCGGACCCGAGGGGACCGGGAGTTGAAGACTCCGAGGGCTGACATATATTGGCCGCAACTGCTATCATTGCCCAAGAATTTAGTCATATATTGTCGCGGATTTAATCGCAAGGATAACACTATGGATGAAAGGCGTCGATATGTGCAGCAATTCACGACTAATAAGACTGATGATGTGAATGACCATGGTAATGCATGTGCATATGTGCAAGGTTGGACAAATAGGGATCCTAATATGAAAAAGTATTGCTATTATGGGTTTTATGGCACTGATGTGGACCCGAAAAAGGTGTCCGATTTGATTGTCCACAATAGGAGTCATTCGCCGTATAGAGACCCAAACACCCGGATGAGAGTGCGGTTGCCTCCCGTGGATTTCACCTGGGACTTCGTATATAACCGCACACTACCCTATCCATATGCCTATAATTTATAATTACCCTTTCCCTCCAGTTCCTCATAATATGTCCGTAATTTTAAATAATTAATCGTCTATTTAAGGGTTTTTGTAAGCATTTGACAACTATGAGGTATTCATGATATACATTATATCATACAATCAATTAATTTATTCCTTATTACTAGTATTATATACATTTGCACAAATACTTTTGAAAATAATTTATCTATGAGTGCCGTATAAGCTATTACTATAATTTATTAGCAAAATTTTTTATTTAATTCAAAAACTATTTTTATTTACTTATTCGTGTATCATTTAATAATTTATTTATATTTATGTTATTTTACATTTCTTAAAACATTATTCAAACACCTATTTTTAGTGTATACAGTACTGTAGGGGCAATAAGTGCAATAAACAAATATACAAAGTAAACTGTTTAATTATTATACTTAAGACAAAAAATTAATAAGTTTTTGTGGTATGTTATTCATGGTTTCATTTTATTATATAACTTATACGGTTATCATTGAATTATATGAAAACATTATTAAACACTCATGTGTTAACTACGGGTATATTGATTGCAATAGCATTGCAACACATACTAGAAATAAAACATTGTGTTATTATACGTGTCAATCGATTTTGAATTTTATATTTACTGAATAAATATTAAGTCAATTATACAACTGTAGTAGTATTTTATTAAAACTTAATGTTGATTAAAAATGTCATTTAATTTTGACGACGATTTATGTGAACTAATCCTATCATACCTACCACTGGAGGATAGGGTACGACTGGAGTGTGTGAGCAAACAGTGGCACCGATTCATATACAGGAGTGTCCACCAAATGTCACATCCATTCTGGAGCCTTCACAGGACATACATGTATAAGGCTTCGGGTCTTAAACAGCAAATATCTGAACAAGTGTTAAGAAAATGTCATTATTTGCATAAATTAAAAGTTTGGTCGGTTTGTGACCAAAGAGTACTGCAAATGATTGCACAGAATTGCCATCAATTGTATGAAATTGACTGTCGTTTTGATTATAACTCGCAGAATATTCCCGAATATATTTGGAAAGAGTTTGCCCACAATTGCGGCAAAAATCTGGAAACTATAAGAATAAGAAAATGTGATCAGGACAGTTTTAACTCAGGTAATAATTTTAATTACAGTAATATTAGTTTGTATATTTTAGGTAAAAATTTATTTTTTGATTTTTATTCAAATAATAGAAATATTTCTAAGTCACCTTATAAAACAACAGCAACTTTATGCAGTACTCAAAAATTTTAGTATTTGTTTGGATTCCAGATTCAGTTCATCTTTATTTCAACAAATGGTCGATAAATACAAGAATACAATCACTTCATTGCAATTAGAGTTGAAATTTACTGCAAATTTCAAACAATTCAATGAAACATTTGAAGCGATTTCACGTTTTCATAGATTGAAATCATTGAAAGTAATACTGGAATCCAATGAAGTATTTGATGTGGACTTGAGTTTTGCCTCCAAATTATTGTCAGATAATTGCCTACAATTGAAGTCATTGTCACTAGAAATCAGGGATAATATCAGATGTGATCCTATCCTCTCAAGTCTATCAACTCTTATTTGTGTTGAGTCTCTGAATATACAAATCAGATCCCCGACCATAGCGTTGGGATCATTGGAGTCATTGAAGTCTATGAAACGCTTGACTGAACTTCAGATTATATACAAGAATTTGAATGATGAACACATGCGAGACATTCAACACTACTGTCCACTAATACAACGATTAGTACTGAAAACACAGCAAACGCTCACAAATGAAACATTGCTTTCATTATCACAATTACAATCAATAAGAGTGTTAAGAATATTCTCTAAACCATTCTCTATGACTGACATATCGGACACCGGGATCTGTGCTGTTGTTAACAACTGCCCACTTCTTCGTGTATTAGATCTCAAATGTGGGGTAACTGTGACTGAGTTAGCACTCAATACACTGCAGTGTCGGGCCATGAGATCACCGGACAATCGGTTTGAGTTCAGTTTCTGTTGGAAGAGAAGTGAAGAACTGATCCGAAAACTGGATGAGAAGACCAGGAGGAAGGGTCTGAGGGCTGAAATATTTTGGCCACAATTACTATCATTGCCTAAAAACCTTATAATTAATAATTACGAGTACTATACGGGTTGGTGCGGGACTATGGCCTACAATGAGTCCAATATATACGACAAACAATTTATTACAAATGCAGATAATAATGAGAATATTATGCTATTAGGATATCCATTAATAAATTATCATTAGATAACTATTTATGATACCTGTCCTCTCTATACTGGAAATATTTATGAGTGAATTAGAGAACATTAAATTTTACAGTATGTGTCTTGAATTGAAAGTATTTATTGATTTCATAGCAAATGATTTCAAAATATTTAATACAAATAAAAATTTATAAAGTTCATTTACAAAATAGTTTATAACTTAAAATATATTAATTTTATGAATAGTTTACTGGACTTTAGTGATGGTCTGTGTGGTTGTGTCCAAAACACACGTATCACCCGTTTTGAATGCACTACACGCCCCCTCCACGGCTATTAAACACGGAATTCCGTACTCTCTGGCGATAACCGCCCCGTGAGATACCGTTCCACCGATTTCGGTGATAATACCTGACAATAACGGAAAGTATGGACTCCAACCGATGTCTGTTGAGTATGTGATCAGTATATCTCCCGACTAGTCATCGAAGCAATTGTTTCATGAATTAAATGAATTAATAATTAAACAAAATTCAATAAATACCTGAATATTGTGGGCTTCGGTAATGTCCTCCGAGACACAAACTCTCGCACTAACCGTTCCGTTACTAACCGGAGTTCCCCTCATCTGAACCATACCTGTGCTCATAGTCGGAGGAGTAATGCGTTTTTCAAACTATTGGAAAATATTAAATTAATTTATCATCAAAATTGTTAACAATTAATAAATTTAATACATTTCTGGGTCTCATTTGCGGCCCTTTAATGAACTCTTCAAACTTGTATCCATCCATTTGTGGGTAAAGCCGGCGCCGGTGTCTAACTCTGGACAGTATTAACGAATTTCTGTCGCCATTGCAAAGCGCCTCCACTTCAGGAACAGTCAGATAGAAGAAGTGGTCGGCGGTAGGGATGAGTCCTTCGGCGGCCATTCGTTGTGCCAATAGTCGGAACCCTTGTCTCCATAAGTCGTTCATATAAACCATGAAATACTTTGATAGCTCACGATATCCGACACCTCTTTGAGCCCACGGAAGCACCAGTTTCTTGAGCAACAGTTTCTTCACTGAAGTCAATGGTGTCTTGAGTTCGTCCACCACTTGATCCACAGATTTAACGGCTTTCGGTTGAAGTTGTATTTCATTTCCCGATAACAGTCCCTAAAAAAGTTTTCAAATTATGTTCAGTAATAAAACTTTGTAATTAGATATACAGTATTAATAACTACTTTAATGGTCTGAACACAAGGAATGGGATTCAGTTTCCACGTGTCATACATGGGGTCTAACTCTCGATACCCTCTGTGACCATGAATATCAAGAAATTGTCTAAATTTTGCTGACGACTCGTGGTTTCCTTTGACTAAAACTTGTAGCGCCTCCTCATCTGTCAATTGTCTAAAGGATTGCTTATCTTTGATAGACTTTGCGATTTGCCGCAAACTGTTGGGCACTTCAGCCGACACCACATCACTGCACGAAGAGATGAGTAAATTGTAGTCCGCCTCCAGGTTTGGGTTATTTGCTATTCAAATGAATTTTCAATAATAATTAATTACTATTTATTTCAGAATTATAATACACTCACACAAACAACTTTCTAAAAACTCTCTCAAAATCATCAGTTTAATGGATGAGCCCATAGAGACTGGTCCATGGTGTTTGACTGATATATCACAAATTATGTGAAAACTATCCAGTATCCCTTTCCATGTATCTTTAGCGGTGAATAATTGCTTCAAAACTGCCACTAAATCGTAACTCTTGTCATCCATTAATTGTTTCTTAGCTATAATCAGATCCTTTGGACCAAATAGTAGTGAATAGACTACGAAACCAATTGTCTTAAAACGTTGAATAAATGATGGCTTCCTTCTATTCAATCGCCTTTCTTTAAAACAGTTGAGTACATCCCTGTCCTCAATGGTGTGTCCAAAAAATGACAAAATCATTTGCTTTGATTGTTTAGTGTCCGGGTAATCTGAAAAAAAGTCAAAGCCACCCTAAAATATAATAAAAACTAATTAAAATATAAATCTTATATAAAGTTAACATAAAGTTAGACAATTAGACAAACATTTGCTAAATTAAACATCAATTGGTTGTACTGAACACCCATTGTATCGATAAATGGGTTGTAATCGTCGATAACAGTCTTTCCCATTAGTAGGTCCCGGCGCTAAACATCAAGTTTAAACAGGATTAAATAAATGTTTATAATACAGTATTAGCAAGGTTATACCACAAATAGGCTTTTATTGGCCCAAAACCACTGCAATACTATCCAAGAGGAGGCGCCGGGAAAGTTCTCGCCCCAGTGGGCCCGGGAGTAGATCTCATACTCTGTCGGGTGACTTGAATCCAGTTCATGAAGAATCTCGTAATCGGTGTAAGAGTTGTCCAAATTGGTCACAGGTCTCGACTGAAGCATAAATATTTGGCCCCCTTTCAGACCCCACTCGATATCCCTGGCGTTTCCGTAGTGTTTGTGAATCTATTCGTGAATTAGGGGTTAATTATGGATTCAATACTTATTATGGATTATAAATACGAACTCGAAGTCCAATGTCGGCCAAACGGATCAGATCATCATCACTGACACAGCAATTACTCGTGTCGTCCACCGCTTCCTCAACAGTACCTCCGCTTTCAGACAACTTTATTAATGTTTTCTTCTGTCCGATCACTTTAGACTCAATCCCATTGACACGTCTTCGTGTGGACAGAGAGTTGGACTCAATATTGACGGACACTTTGATTGTGTCCGGTTCTGAAGACGCCGACACCACTGACTGTCAAAATATAGTTCAAAATTACTATAATTATCAACAAATTGGTATGTCTTTGACGCCTCACTTCTCCTAATCCATAGTTGGCTGTAATCTCCAGATGTCTCTCATCGCCGGTCATAGGATCACATGTGAACATAACGCCCGCCGATTGGCAGCCAATCATCTCCTGTATGACGACAGCCATCGGACTATTGATAGGCTGTCCGTAACCTCTCTTATACTGGACGGCGATGTGCGAGAATTGAGAGGACCAACACATCATCACCGATGAGTAGATCTCCTCAAGACCTCTGACGCCTAAGTATGTGGTCATCTGTCCGGCGGCTGACATCTCCTCTGAGTCCTCCGAAGCGCCCGAAGATCTGACGGCAAATTGTTTTGTCTCAAAATCGTTGAAGTTTTCGCTTAATTTCTGTTTTATGTCTTGTTTTACAACTTGTGGTAAACTATGAGCTGATATTGAATTCATTAGTTCATTGCATTTAGTCTTCAGCTCTTTCGGTGATAATTGTGTGAATTCTTCCAGTTCTTGGATCTCTTGCAACAGTTCTTTGTGATCACAAAGAAGTCGCTGATAGGCATTAGTGGTGACAATCACACCATTCGGGACAATGAATTGGTTTTCATAATCTTCTTTAACCATATCTTCAGACAAACTCTTGAGAACAGCTAAAGAACTCCCTTTACCTCCGCTTAAGTCAACTCTTTTGGCATTTCCTTCACTCAAACTCAATACAAGTGATGAATCGTTTGTCACAGAATTTACAAAATCATAGGTTTTGACAGATTCTTGAAATTGTGTCTCATTTTCATCTAATATATAACACATTCCTTCCGATTCATTGATTAAAAGTCTTTTCGCGAAACTGTTTCCATGTTTTTCGACAACAAAATTATAGTCTTTGTCATCAAAAGTAGCTGAAAAATGAATTAAACTCTTGTCCAATATTTCAGTAAAGTCTGTTCCCTTTAGTGATAATTTCTTGAGCTTCAAAAAGTGTCCACTTTTTCGGAATAGGTATCCAAAACGATATTCACTCGCATTTTGAAGGCAAATAAATCCCAAATGAAAACCAATTCCTAAGTAAATAATTTTTTAAATAATTATTTTCATATATTTAGTCATTTATCCAGAATATTCTGTACCGTCTTTAGTGTATCCGAAAAATCTTTTAATATTTCTATGAATAGGTTTGTTTTGTAAATACTTTTTACTCATAGATCCCCAGAAGTATAGCTCCCTTTCCTCTGTCAACTCTTCACTGAAAGTACCCTTTATTTGTCCGAATTGCTCGAATCGGTCCTCAAATCGGTTGTCACTTGTGTCCGATTTTGGTGATAATGCCATCTCTTTGGCCATAAACTGGTCGTCGAAGTCGTGGGTGAAGTCGTAAACTCTTGAGACGGCATACCATAGGAACCGGAAGCGCACGTAAACTAATTGGTTGTCATTTTTGATGAGATATCCCCTAAACTTAATCCGTTTGCGTCTAAACGGAGTATTGATCTCTAGTCCGAGTCCACCCATTCTGTACTCATTGGACCGATACTCGACCTCCGAGTCTTCTTCTAAGGTATAGGTATTACTGTTGTTGTCATCAAATCTAAGACTTATGGATGCGTTCACCCGATTGTCCACTCCTTTGGGTCTCCATTTGATAGTAATATAAATGCTTTGTTTCGATGAATTCACGCCATATATCAACAAATCCTCGCTTTTATTCTGGTATTTGTTTTAATGAAAATTAATTTATAAATTAATTAAAATTCTTATTAATAAGTTTTTATAAATTTTACATTAATTTATACATAAAATAAAATAGTTATACCAGTAATACAAGTAATAAAATATTTGGTAAATACCAGAGAGGGTAAGTCGTATTGCCATTCGTGTGGGAATGGTAACAGTCCCGAGTGGTGGACCGAAGATCTGACGGCAAATTGTTTTGTCTCAAAATCGTTGAAGTTTTCGCTTAATTTCTGTTTTATGTCTTGTTTTACAACTTGTGGTAAACTATGAGCTGATATTGAATTCATTAGTTCATTGCATTAAAATAAAATAGTTATACCAGTAATACAAGTAATAAAATATTTGGTAAATACCAGAGAGGGTAAGTCGTATTGCCATTCGTGTGGGAATGGTAACAGTCCCGAGTGGTGGACCTCATCCCTGTACACGTCATGTGTGACTATTCTGTTGCACTTGTGTTGTCTTCTTCTGGACCATAGTTTCCATAATTGAGATAAATATCTAAACCACTGGCCATTGATTTGCTCATTTAGTTTTAATAATTTGTTTGCAAATATAGTCATAGCAGGGATTGATATTAAAAGTCCCATAACTTAATAAAAAGTTTATAATTATAAATATAATTTTTTTATTAAAAAAATAAAACTTCTAAATAGTTTTAGATGTTATATTGAATAATAAAAGTGTAAAAACTATTTTCTTTTATATGATTTGACTGAAAAATATTTTTATTATATTGCATTTGAATCAAATGATTTGATTGGTTGTGAAAGTCCTAGTTGTACTAAAACTTAGTTATAGATAATAAGACGTCTAAAAATGATTGCAATTATACACAAGTATTTCATAATGTTTTTCAGCATCAATACTTATCTAACTAAGTTATGTAAAGATGCAATTGTAGTTAATACAACATTAATAGTTATACAAATAATTATAAAAAGTTAGATTAGTCCTAGATGCACTAAAATAACATTAAGTGTACCTACAATTGATTTATTAACACATCACATAATGGCTATATAATGATTTGTTTATCTACATTTTATTTGTTTAATTAATTCAATGCAACCAATATTTTACAGATAAATTTATTATTAATACAATTACTTAAAATAATATTTATAAAGAATTTTTTAAAAAGGTTACAGAATATGAATAAATATTTTTTAATTTTCAAGTTTTGAATTTGTGAAAATTTATAATTTTTAATCGTTTTGCATAGATATATGGATAGTTTAGTTTCTAAGTGTTCAATATAAATTTTGCCTATATTTTTATTAAGTTAGAATAAGTTTGTTAACTCTAAATTACTTTGTTAATTAGTGTTAAATCCTTATTATAAATAATTAAATAAATAATCTTAATTGAAAATTCTTGGAAATTATGTAGCGCCACACTTTATCTAATGAATAAGAATTTGTTTCAAGGTTACTATTGTTAATACAGTACAGTAGTATAGTTATGTAAGTACAGTATTATGACTAGTATTATATCATACATATATATTTGTAATAACAATAGCATTCCAGGTAATTTATACTCAACTATTACCAAAATATTGTAAAGATAATTAAGAAATAACACTAGTGCAATAAATTACTGCTTATTACTTATTATTCAAAATGAGTTTGTATAGAAATCTCAACTAGAATTAAAAAGTATTGTATGTAACTAAAAGTTAATTTATTTTGTATGGTTTACTTTAACTAGCACAAACATTGCGTGAATGTCATAGTAATAACTATTGCACACATAAATAGACATTTAAAGGCATTTTATTCACCATATTTATTGTTTTCACATATTTTTGATAAATATAACTTATTTTAGATTAATTTATACTAAAATGTCATTTAATTTTGACGACGATTTATGTGAACTAATCCTATCATACCTACCACTGGAGGATAGGGTACGACTGGAGTGTGTGAGCAAACAGTGGCACCGATTCATGTATAAGAGTGTCAATGAGTTAACACATCCCGTGTGGAGCACTCACTGGACTTATATGTATAAAGATGTGGACACAAAGTTACAAATATCTGAAAATGTGCTCAAAAAATGTATTTTTTTGGGCGAATTAAAGGTTTGGCCGGTTTGTGACCAAAGAGTACTACAAATGATTGCACAGAATTGCCATCAATTGTATGAAATTGACTGTCGTTTTGATAAGAACTCGCAGAATATTCCCGAATATATTTGGAGAAAGTTTGCCCACAATTGCGGCAAAAATTTGAAAACTATTACAATAAGGAAAAACAGTCCTGAAACCTTTCACTCGGGTATTAAATATATTGTGATTTATTTTTAATATAATAAAATTCTTATTTTATAACTTTTAATTTTTAGACATATTTCTGTCACATCTTATAAACTACGAGCCCTTCTATACAAAGGTACAGAATATTAGTATAGGAATTGATCGTCAAAATGGTTTAAATCTATTGAGACAATTGACTGACAAATATAAGGATTCAATCACTTCATCGCAATTGGAGTTAAATTTTAAAACAAATTTTAAGAAATTCAATGAAACACTTGAAGTGATTTCAAACTTTCATAGACTGAAGACATTGAAAGTAATACTGGAATCCAATGAAGTATTTGATGTGGACTTGAATTTTGGCACTAAATTATTGTCCGACAATTGTCTGCAATTGAAGTCATTATCACTAGAAATTATGGAGAATATCAGATGTGGTCCTATCCTCTCAAGTCTATCAACTCTTATTTGTGTTGAGTCTCTGAATATACAAATCAGATCCTCAGCCATAGCGTTGGGAACATTGGAGTCATTGAAGTCTATGAAACGCTTGACTGAACTCCAGATTATATACGAGAATTTAAATGATGAACACATGCGAGACATTCAACACTACTGTCCACTAATACAACGATTAGTACTGAAAACACAACAAAAGCTCACAAATAAAACATTGTTCTCATTATCAAAATTACAATCAATACGAGTGTTAAGAATATTCTCAATGCCTTTCACTATGACTGACATATCGGACACCGGGATCTGTGCTCTAATTAACAACTGTCCACTTCTACTATCATTAACCCTAAAATGTGGGGTAAGAGTGACTGACTTAACACTCAATACACTGCAATCCCGAGCCATAAGATCACCAAACCGTCGGTTTGAGTTCAGTTTCTGTTGGAAGAGGACTGAAGAGCAAAGCAAAAGACTGGAAGACAACCGGAATTTCACGAAAGCCGACATATTTTGGCCACAATTGTTATCATTGCCCAAGAATTTAGTCATATATTGTCGCGAGTATTTCACGGGCAAGTGTGGCACTATGAGTATGTCTGAGTGTCATATGTATGGACAGCAATTTGTCACTAATAAGACCAATGACCTAAATGATCAAGATAATGTGCATTACCTCATGGATAGAAGTGAGATAAGTTATCACACGAAAAAGTACTGTTATTATGGTGATGTGGATCCAGATAAAATATCGGACATGATTTATTACAAAATTAATCATATACCTGATAACAATTAAAATTACTCTAGAATTGCAGCAATAATATTTTGTATCATTTAACTTATGATTATGGATTATTTTGATTCACAATTGAGTCTATTTGATTATTAATAAATTGTAGATGTTTATTGATATTTTATTTAAATGATATTTATGCAATAGTAAATAAATTAATTATATAGCTAAATATTTTATTGTTTAACTATATTAATGAAGAAGATTTAATAAATCACACTAAAAGTACTACAAATACAACATATCAACATAGTGATTTCAAATCAAATCTATCGCTACATTATTTCAAATTATAAGCATCTTTGATCAATTGCGAGCACTTGTAGCCAACGGTTATGGAGGCGGACGCAGTGTTAGCGTTGGGAACCACTGGGAACACCGATGAGTCGCAAACCCTGAGGTTCTTCGCGTACTTAACCCTCAACTGGGGGTCGACCACAACATCGGGTCTGTCTATTGAGCCCATACGACAACTGCCCCCGGGATGTAAGGAACTGTAGGTAAAATACTTCATATAACATAATAACCCCTCTGTGCACTCGTAAATATATCTCCCGGTGCACATCGCACAGCCATAATCAGATAATTTTGGTAGTATAACATAATTAGCAAGTTGTGTTTTCTCAAATATATAAAATTGCATCCTGGTTGATTCTAATGCATTCTCTACATCTTCCGGATGGGAAAACCAGTTTGGGTTCAGTATTGGGTGAACCCTGGGATCAGTTGATTGTAGGCGAACTGTCCCACGACTTTTGAAACGA